TGAGGATTGTAACTTCACAAACAATGTAACGACTATCACTTGCATGCCTTCGGAGAATGACGATGCGAATGGAAATCGCCACGCTGTGCAATTGGTGATATATCATCATTTCGTGAATATTTCACAACAAAATTTTACATATATTTTCAAGGTAAATCAAACGAGTACATGGAGTCCTCTACTTACGAACGAGTTAGGTTCAAAAGGTCTGTTAATAAGTCGATTTGTTCAGAGTCCAACTTTACTCCTGTCAATTCCAAACATATTGTACGGCGTGTATACTTAAACACGGGGAATGTCTTTAAAAGTTGTATTATCTCCGGTAGACATAGATGCCACTGGTTCTTCATGTTCTGCAGATGAAGATGCCACTGGTTCTTCACGTCTTGTGGATGTAGATGCCATTGTTTTTAAATGTTCTGCAGATGTAGATGCCAGTGGTTCTGCACGTTCTGCAGATGCCACTGGTTCTTCAGGTTCTGCAGATGTAAATGTCACCACCGCCATCTATTGCGCGGCGGTAGAACTTCAGGCTCTTCTGTCCGAACAGGCAACTGAACATATGGGATCCTGAAAGTTCATCGGGTCGAATGTTCGTAAGTAGAGGAGTCCCTGTAATGATATTTTGCAACAAAAAAAAGACGTACGATACGGATTATCCCTGGGTTTTATATGGCACAATATATTACGGTACCCGTGTAAAGGTTGTGTCTTTGCGTGAGCGCCGCACATGGTCAGGCCTTAGTCCTTTAGTGGTCACATGTTACGTAGTTCATTGGGTTTTTTGCCGTTTCTTACATTGCCGAATGTCTTTAACACGATACTCGTCATGGGCGATTGTATTGAGTATCGGCATTTCGTTAACGGAGCGCTCACCGATGCCCAGCAACGGGACCTTGTATATTTCGATTTAAAGCTTTCGTGACTGCAAGGATTCATCTTCTTGGTTCTTTCGGTGAAGTCACCACGTAGAATGAGAATTTTGTTTCATTGTTTTCTTCTCATTCTACGTGAGTTTACCGAAAGAACAAAGAAAACGGGACCTTATATTTGATCATTTACAGCGGGTATCTCGGGGGGGGGGGGGGGGGGGGGGGAGCATAACATATCGATGGGTCAGTTTAACACGTAGGCTTTCGCGACCAATATCATTCATAATAAAGGTTTTTGGGTTAGATCGCGTTTATTTATAAATGTGTCGTAACCCTCCACCACCCGACACGGCCAATCAGCCAAAAAAGTGTCACGTTGACAAAAGACAAATAATTCACTACTTTAGCCCACCGGTGTGTTGAAGAGTGAATCCACATTTACAGTTTGAGTACGACGTTTCGCTGGTAAATACATCCAGCATCATCATCGGGCAATTCGCCAGAATGATGCTGGATGTATTTACCAGCGAAACGTCGTACTCAAACTGTAAATGTGGATTCACTCTTCAACACACCGGTGGGCTAAAGTAGTGAATTATTTGTCTTTTGTCAACGTGACACTTTTTTTTGCTGATTGACCGTGTCGGGTGGTGGAGGGTTACGACACATTTATAAATAAACGCGATCTAACCCAAAAACCTTTATTATGAATATCGATGGGTGTTTATCTGGCCACCAACAGCTGCGAGAGACACACGTGGGAGTCACGGAGAGGGAGCGAGGGTCGAGGGCATCACTGCGCCTCTGGGCTGTGACCTGGTGTGACGTCGCCGTTGCGACGTGTGGGCCCTTTGTTTGGCGCGCGAATAAACGCAGCGTGTGGCTCAGCGCTACCTCTTAAGAGTTCTCTTCTTTGTGCAGTGAGGGAGGAGGGGGGGTGGGGGGAAGTGCGTGACGGATTGGGAATGCACGTATGTGTATGTTGACCTTCAATGGGCAGTGTTGAGTCTTTGGGCAGGGATGTGTGTATTGAACACCATACGTAGCCAAGTGCTAATAGAAGGTACGCGCGGGGGGAGGCGGGGAGCAAACTGAACACAACAACAAGCAGTTCTAAAGAAATTCGTTTGTCAATTTAGCTTCGTGGTGGCGATTGCCTGGTGTTGGTGGTGGTGATGGTAGTGTGGGTATGTATGTGTAACCGGCCCAACCTATCCCTCTCCTCCCATGTTCGTTACGAGGGGACAGGTCAGTTAATAAGTACAAAAAAACAACAACAATAATAGTAGATGATCTTCTTTGGTTCTTTCGGTAAAGTCACGTAGAATGAGAATAAAATAATACATTGATCAAATAAAATAACACAATAATATCAATGTATTATTTTATTTATATCAATTTATTATTTTATTCTCATTCTACGTGGTGACTTTACCGAAAGAACCAAAGAAGATGAATCATTGCAGTCACGAAAGCTTTAAATCGAAATAGTAGATGAGTTCGGATGCGATGAGTGGATACGCTGCATTGCATTCTGCCCTCCTGAGAAACGGATGACTCCACCACCAAGGGACACCAGGGGATTGTGTGACTGCAACTCTTTATTTCAAAGTGTTCTTACGAGGAGCGTTCGTGCATCTGCAATTGTGACCCGATGCACAGAAATCAACCCCTGTACAGCGTCCACCCGAATCTGAATAGGTACCCTGTACCCTGAATTGATAACTTACTGGTGGGCGTGGCCTACTGTGCATTCACGTGACCCTATCGGCCCAATCCATGGTCATTATTACTTTCATTCACAATTATACTTGTGGTTCATTTACATTATGCCCATACCGGCTACATATACATGCTTGCCGAACTTCTTTCGCACCGTATTCAGCCAACCGTGCTAAACATACGCAACTTCCTGCGATGCCAAATGACGTCATTCCCTGTGACGTGAAATGATGCAATTCCTCGTGATGTGACTTTACCGAAAGAACCAAAGAAGATGAACCCTTGCAGTCACGAAAGCTTCAAATCGAAGGTTAACCCGCAACATTTTGCAATGCGCGGCGACACAGGCTCAGCGCGGCACAGAATCCGGGACGGAAAAAACCCAAAAAACACAGCGCAAAAAAAATAAAAGAGTTATCCGCCCAAACTTTAATCTTTCGCGAAAGACCGCTCTCCCGTGATCTCGGGAAAGATCACGGGGCCAGAAGCGGCGAGTCCGCCAGTTTCGACGGATGCGCCGAGATCCTCGACGGGCAGCTTAAAGTGCACCGCGTAACGGACCTCGGCATTATCGGTACCTTCTTATATCCATCCCCGTTGCTGTTGTATGCTTACATTTGCATTAGGTAGCAGGTCACCACGTGCAGTATATGTTCCCCGCGTGAGTCACATAATTCAAAGTGCCGTTTACACTACGTACAACGACGACACCCCGTGCAAGTGCTGTTAAGCGAGCGAGCGAGCGAGCACCTAAAAAGGCAGGAACGGCACACGAGGGGGTGGGTGGCTAGCACCACACACCCGACCGCCTTTGTCTCCCCCCGGTGGAGATGTTTACACACCGCACCGGGTACTCATATGGAGGTCGTTGCCGGCGTTTGCGGCCGTGAGCGGGGAATGGAACTCGGGCCGCCGGGTTCGTAGCGCAGCGGTAACCGCTACACCACCGCTCCCCTATGTGTATACTCGTCAGAGGCGGCCATCGACTAGCCGCCAGCAATCGGCGCCTTCACCCCCCGAATCCCGTTTAATGTTTTTTTTATTTTTTAAAGCATATTTCTTTTCTTTTTTAAACAGAGGCACAATTATTGAGTTTGTCCATCCGTCCGTATGTCTGTCTGTCCAACCAATACATTTTTCAGAAATATTGAGAAGTGAATTATAATTCACGTAGCCTCTGCACACGCACGGGGAATTTGAAATGCAATCCTCGTTATCTTTTTTTTTTAAATATTTTTTAAAAAATTTGACATTTTTTCCCCTCGAATTTGGAGCCGCGATATAACTTGGCACCCCTAGGCGACTGCCCTGGTTCATCCGCATGGACGGGCCGCCCCTGACACTCGTATAAACCACGTGCAGTTACCTCTCGATTATCCCGGGGTGGTGGTGGGGGGGAGGGGGGCACATGAATCCAGGTTGTGAATTAACTGCACTCTCGAAATGGAACAAAACAAAACCCCCCGCCAAAAAAAAAATCGATTCATTTTTAAGTTTCTCCCCCCGGGCGTTCCCCACCTCGTCGCAGGTCGCAGCGACTGCCCCCACGCCCCCAAACGGAGACCGCCAAATGCGACGGCGAGTGAACCCGATTTACGTTCGGAAGGGGATAACAATAAATAGACCAGCCATTTCCTCTTCACCCCCTGCCTCCCCCCCCCCTCCGCCAACAACTCCACGTCAAATTTTGATTTAAAGCTTTCGTGACTGCAGTAATTCATATTCTTAGTTTTTTCGGTAAAGTCACGTTGAAGAGAAACAACAAAATAACAAAATATATATAAAACAATAAAAAATTCTCACGACGTTTCGACCATAACTCAAACGGTCATCATCAGGTGTGTCGGTTGATGATGACCGTTTGAGTTATGGTCGAAACGTCGTGAGAATTTTTTATTGTTTTATATATATTTTGTTATTTTGTTGTTTCTCTTCAACGTGACTTTACCGAAAAAACTAAGAATATAACTCCACGTCAGGCAAACAAACGTCTTGCCACCCAATTTGACACGGTTTTGCATTTACCGAATTTTTTTTATTTTTTACCCCGGGCCACTCTTCCCTCCGCCCCCATCCCCCATTGCCCACGAGAATCGAGAGCCGACGACGACACTTTATAACAAATAAAAAAACAACACCTCGTCTATTAAAGCATTACCGGTTTCTTTTTTTACCCTCACCCGAGCGATCTTTTGCGCAACCAAGGAAAAAAAAAACCAAACCTCGCAATTTTACTTCTTTGGTTCTTTCGGTAAAAGTCACCACGTGGAATGAGAGTAAAATAATAAAGTAAAACTATAACATTCTCACGACGTTTCGGCCACAACGCAAGCTCTGTCGTCCCGACAGGCCCGTTCCTTTCACCTGAAGACGGCCGCCTGCGTTGTGGCCCGAAACGTCGCGAGAATTTTATTGTTTCATTTTATTATTTTATTCTCATTCTACGTGACTTTACCGAAAGAACCAAAGAAGAGAAATTAAACCTGGTTTAATATCCGAATATAATTTCCATATATAAGCAATCAACACTACTTCATTTCATATCAATTGCTGTATTCGCTGGGGCTGTATTTGTGCGATGAATCACGGACGCGTCGATGGTGGAAAAATCAGGATAGGTGACAACACCTACCTATGGCATTCAGCTACGGGGTAGCTGCAATAGTTTTAATCGTATCCACGGGGATAAAAAGATGACCCCCCACCCCCCCGAGAGAGAGGAGTTTGATCGAAGCGTCCTGCTGGTGTGCCGGTCACGGGAGCTGGTGGAGCGTTTGGTGGCTCATTCCATTGACGCCCACCGCAACAGCACTCGTGCACCTGTGAGTGGATGAGAAAAAAAGAATCACTCCCTGTAACATGGCGCGAGCGACGTCACGTCCTGTAACGGCGAGAGAGCGACGTCACGTCGCGTGACGTGAGAGCGATGTCACGTCGTGTGACGTGAGAGCGACGTCACGTCGCGTGACGTGAGAGCGACGTCACGTCGTGTGACGAGAGAGCGACGTCACGTCGTGTGACGAGAGAGCGACGTCATGTCCTGTGACGTGAGAGCGACGTCACGTCGTGTGACGAGAGAGCGATGTCACGTCGTGCGAAGAGAGAGCGACGTCACGTCCTGTGACGTGAGAGCGACGTCACGTCGTGTGACGAGAGAGCGACGTCACGTCGTGTGACGAGAGAGCGACGTCACGTCGTGTGACGAGAGAGCGATGTCACGTCGTGTGACGTGAGAGCGACATCACGTCGTGTGACGTGAGAGCGACGTCACGTCGTGCGAAGAGAGAGCGACGTCACGTCCTGTGACGTGAGAGCGACGTCACGTCGTGCGAAGAGAGAGCGACGTCACGTCCTGTGACGTGAGAGCGACGTCACGTCGTGTGACGAGAGAGCGACGTCACATCGCGTGACGAGAGAGCGACGTCATGTCCTGTGACGTGAGAGCGACGTCGTCGTGTGACGTGAGAGCGACGTCACGTCGTGCGAAGAGAGAGCGATGTCACGTCCTGTGACGTGAGAGCGACGTCACGTCCTGTGACGTGAGAGCGACGTCACATCGTGTGACGAGAGAGCGACGTCACGTTGTGTGACAAGAGAGCGACGTCACGTCGTGTGACGAATGGGTGACGTCACGTCGTGTGACGTGAGAGCGACATCACGTCGTGTGACGAGAGAGCGACGTCACGTCGTGTGACGTGAGAGCGACGTCACGTCGCGTGAAGAGCGAGCGACGTCACGTCGTGTGACCAATGGGTGACGTCACGTCGTGTGACGTGAGAGCGACGTCACGTCGCGTGACCAATGGGTGACGTCACCTCCGATTGGCAATGGTTGGCTACCTATGGTGCGACAGAAGTTCTACATACACTACACACAACATTACATACTGCGCTATAAACTATACACTGCACTACACTGCACACTACACTACACACTACATCAGTATACTAAAATTGAAAACTCCTATCTTTTGAACTGCTTGTTGTTGTGTTTAGTTTATTGTCATCTCTGATCAGCGCGCAGACGGCTACGTACACAGTGAAAGAAGATCAACATACTACACTATACACTACACACTACACCACTATACTAAATTGACAATTTATTACAACTCGTCTATGTGCCGAGGGAGTTCTGCGTTCCCATTGGACACATCGCGCGCCTACATCCTGAAGGCCGATTGCGAAAGCCGACAGCTGTACCACGTATAAGTTGCGTACGTGTATGCGTGTGCGTGTGTGTGGCCCGGCACAAGCGTCGTGTTGACGTCACCGCCACTTGGTGGCGAATGGCGGTTGTTGTTGTTGTTGTGTATGTATGTGTGTATGTCTGCATGCATGTGTGCGTGCGTGTGTGTGGCCCGGCACAAGCGTCGTGTTGACGTCACCGCCACTTGGTGGCGAATGGCGGTTGTTGTTGTTGTTGTGTAGGTATGTGTGTGTGTATGTCTGCATGTATGTGTGCGTGTGTGCGTGTGTGTATGTATGCGTGTATGTGTATGTATGCTTGTATGTGTGTGTGTATGTATGTGTATGTATGTGTGTGTATGTGTGTGTATGTGTGTGTGTGTATGTCTGTATGTGTGTATGTATGTGTGTGTATGTATGTGTGTATGTCTGTATGTGTATGTGTGTGTATGTCTGTATGTGTATGTAAGTATGTGTGTGTATTTATGCGTGTGTGTATGTGTGCGTGCGTATGCGTGTATGTGTATGTAAGTATGCATGCGTGTATGTGTGTGTATGTATGCGTGTGTGTATGTGTGTGTATGTAAGTATGTATGGGTGTGTGTGTGTGTATGTAAGTATGTATGCGTGTGTGTGTGTACGTATGCGTGTGTGTGTGCGTGTGTGTGCGTGTATGTATGCATGTGTGTGTGTTTGTATGTGTATGTATGCGTGTGTGTGTATGCGTGTGTGTGGCTAAAGCACAGCAGGTTGGCACAGTAGGGGGGCACAGGTGGTGCATCAGCCAGTCATCTCAGTCAGTCGACCCGTGGCACCTGGGTCTGCCCCGTGACCTCCTGCCAGCGGGCGTTCGACACTTCACGTGGCCTCGGGGTGCACATAGCCTGGCACAAGCGTCGTGGTGACGTCACCGCCACTTAGTGGCGAATGGCGGTTGCTGTTGTTGTTGTATGCGTGCGTGTATGCGTGCGTGTATGTGCGTGCGTGCCGTATAGCTGTGCCTGTATTTTTTTTGTACGCTCGAGAAGCCGAAATTCTGGTTTCACAAGTTTAGCCAAAAGGTCACTGGGGGCCCACCGATGCAAATCTTCGGCCCATGAAGACCTGTCAACTGCGGCGCGTGTGATGCGTGTTGCAACGCAGTACAAAGTGTAACGCGACGCAAATGCCCACCCCCCGATCCACAAAGACATCACAGCGAAGGCGGTGATGAGACGCCACTCCTCCGCTACTGCTCCTGACGCGGTTAACCTTGACCTGACCGTCCGAATGTCACACTGTATCTACATCAAGCCATACGGAAGAGACGACCACTATCACTACCTTTACTACTGCAACCTCTACACCCCTATCACTAACACAACTCCTATCGCTGGCCCTATCGCTGTCCCTATCGCTGTCCCTATCGCTACCACTACCGAAAACCCCGATCCCTACCGCCACCCTTATCACTACCCCCAGGAACAGACTGTTCTGGGGGTAGTGAAGGAGGAGAAATCACAGCGGCGATGATGATGATGATGAGACCCCACTGCTCCGCTACTGCTCCTGACGCAGGTTATCTGGGCTTTGACCACCTGAATGTGACATTGTGCGTTGTTGTTGCTCTGCATCTACTACATCAGCCTACATGTGAAAGAAGAAGACGACGAAGATGGAAGAAAAAGACAAAGAAGAAGACGATGATGAAGAAGGGGATGATGAAGAAGTTGACGATGAAGAAGTTGATGAAGAAGTTGACGATGAAGAAGGTGACAATGAAGAAGGTGACGATGAAGAAGGTGACAATGAAGAAGGTGACGATGAAGAAGTTGACGATGAAGAAGGTGACGATGAAGAAGTTGACAATAAAGAAGGTGACAATGAAGAAGTTGACAATAAAGAAGGTGACGATGTAGAAGTTGACAATGAAGAAGGTGACAATGAAGAAGTTGACGATGAAGAAGGCGACGATGAAGAAGGCGACGATGAAGAAGGTGATGAAGAAGTTGACAATGAAGAAGGCGACGATGAAGAAGGTGACAATGAAGAAGGCGACTATGAAGAAGGTGACGATGAAGAAGTTGACGATGAAGAAGTTGACAATGAAGAAGTTGACAATGAAGAAGGTGACGATGAAGAAGTTGACGATGAAGAAGGTGACGATGAAGAAGGTGACAATGAAGAAGGTGACAATGAAGAAGGTGACGATGAAGAAGGTGACAATGAAGAAGTTGACAATGAAGAAGGTGACGATGAAGAAGGTGACGATGAAGAAGGCGACGATGAAGGTGACGATGAAGAAGGTGACGATGAAGAAGGCGACGATGAAGAAGGCGACAATGAAGAAGGTAACAATGAAGAAGTTGACGATGAAGAAGGTGACAATGAAGAAGGTGACGATGAAGAAGGTGACGATGAAGAAGTTGACGATGAAGAAGGTGACAATGAAGAAGGTGACAATGAAGAAGGTGACGATGAAGAAGTTGACGATGAAGAAGGGGATGATGAAGAAGGTGACAATGAAGAAGTTGACGATGAAGAAGGTGACGATGAAGAAGGTGACAATGAAGGTGACAATAAAGAAGTTGACGATGAAGAAGGTGACAATGAAGAAGGTGACAATGAAGAAGGTGACGATGAAGAAGGGGATGATGAAGAAGGTGACAATGAAGAAGTTGACAATGAAGAAGGTGACAATGAAGAAGGTGACAATGAAGAAGGTGACAATGAAGAAGGTGACAATGAAGAAGGTGACGATGAAGAAGGTGACGATGAAGAAGTTGACGATGAAGAAGGTGACAATGAAGAAGGTGACAATGAAGAAGGTGACAATGAAGAAGGTGACAATGAAGAAGGTGACAATGAAGAAGGCGACGATGAAGAAGTTGACGATGAAGAAGGTGACGATGAAGAAGTTGACAATGAAGAAGTTGACGATGAAGAAGGTGACAATGAAGAAGTTGACGATGAAGAAGGTGACAATGAAGAAGGTGACGATGAAGAAGGCGACGATGAAGAAGGCGACGATGAAGAAGGTGATGAAGAAGGTGACAATGAAGAAGGTGACAATGAAGAAGGCGACAATGAAGAAGTTGACGATGAAGAAGGTGACGATGAAGAAGTTGACAATGAAGAAGTTGACGATGAAGAAGGTGACAATGAAGAAGTTGACGATGAAGAAGGTGACAATGAAGAAGGTGACGATGAAGAAGGCGACGATGAAGAAGGTGACGATGAAGAAGGTGATGAAGAAGTTGACAATGAAGAAGGCGACGATGAAGAAGGTGACAATGAAGAAGGCGACGATGAAGAAGGTGACGATGAAGAAGGTGATGAAGAAGTTGACAATGAAGAAGGCGACGATGAAGAAGGTGACGAAGAAGGCGACGATGAAGAAGGTGACGATGAAGAAGGTGACAATGAAGAAGGTGACAATGAAGAAGGTGACGATGAAGAAGGTGACGATGAAGAAGGTGACGATGAAGAAGGTGACGATGAAGAAGGTGACGATGAAGAAGGTGACGATGAAGAAGGTGACGATGAAGAAGGCGACAATGAAGAAGGTGACAATGAAGAAGGTGACGATGAAGAAGGTGACGATGAAGAAGGTGATGAAGAAGTTGACAATGAAGAAGGTGACGATGAAGAAGGCGATGATGATGATGATGATGAAGATGAGAAACAAGACGAAGAAGATGATGATGAACCAGCGTCTTTGACCTCTGGTGCTCACCTAGGGGTAGAAGGAGTAGTGACCAGTGTACGAGTTGGAAAGGAAGAAGATCGGGACGATGATGATGATGAGGGCGAGGCTCATGATCCCCAGCACCATGCCGGCGATGTTTAGGTTGCGACAGGTGGCGGAGTACTTGGAGGCTCGCTCCAGGTCCCCCGTTGCCAGGGCGTCGCGCACCTGCCAACGGGGGGGGGGGGGGCACGGGGGCACGGGGGGGGGGGGGGAGAAACGTCACTCGCACGGTAGATTTTTTTTGGTTTTAATTTCCTCCTTTCTTCTTTATTTCGCAAAGGTAAGGGCCTCCCCATGGGTGCCGCGGTGGCTAGGAGATGTTAACTACCTCGCCCGGTATACAGGAGGTCGTGGGTTCGATCCCCACCCTGATTGATGGCTGCTGTATATTTGGAGTTTGTGGTGTCTCTCTCTCATCATCATCACGGTGGCTAGGAGATGTTGACTACCTCGCCTGATGCGCAGGAGGTCGTGGGTTCGATCCATACCCTGACAACGCCTGCTGCTGCTGCTGTAGATTTGGAGTCTGCGTCTCTCTCTCTCTCATCATCATCACGGTGGCTAGGAGATGTTAACTACCTCGCCTGGTATACAGGAGGTCGTGGGTTCGATCCTCACCCTGATTGATGGCTGCTGCTGTATATTTGGAGTTTGTGGTGTCTCTCTCATCATCATCACGGTGGCTAGGAGATGTTGACTACCTCGCCCGGTATACAGGAGGTTGTGGGTTCGATCCTCACCCTGATTGATGGCTGCTGTATATTTGGAGTTTGTAGTGTCTCTCTCTCATCATCATCACGGTGGCTAGGAGATGTTAACTACCTTGCCTGGTCTACAGGAGGTCGTGGGTTCGATCCCCACCGTGATTGATGGCTGCTGTATATTTGGAGTTTGTGGTGTCTCTCTCTCATCATCATCACGGTGGCTAGGAGATGTTGACTACCTCGCCTGGTATACAGGAGGTCGTGGGTTCGATCCTCACCCTGATTGATGGCTGCTGCTGCTGTAGATTTGGATTCACTCTCCCCGTGGTCGCGTAGATTTTTCTAGGGGTCCTCCGGTTTATCCCCGCCACTTTTAGAATCGACGTCACCACGCGTTCAGAGTAACTGGCCGCTGCAGTATATGTCCACGTGATGATGATGATGATGAGCCACTTGGGTTGAGCTGTCAATTTTGGTGGCCAGGTCGCTTCTGAGAAAGAGCTACACACAGCAGCTTCGGGGCCGTCCATAAATGACGTCACGCGATTTTGGACGATTTTAATACCCCCTCTCCCCCTCTTCGTGATTTGGGGGTGGGGGGTGGCTGCCTTAAAATGAAAAAATCTCGAATCCGTAGATCTCTCTCTCTCTCTTCCTTATAGATTTGAAGTTTTCGTAACTGCAAGGATCCATACTCTCTTTGGTTCTTTCGGTAAAGTCACGTAGGTAAAGAAAATAAATCAAATAAAACAAAAAATGACTTTGTTGTGTCCTAAAATCTACCTGGGTAACCCACACGTCAGCTTTCTACCTTATCAGCAAGTACCCTGGACGGTGTTTGAGACGCAGAGATTAAGGCCTTTATTTATACAGAGAGATCGATCGAAGATCGATGTATCTCCATCCCCTGTTGCTGGTGTCACAAAATCTACTTCTGTACCAAATGTCATCTCTCTAAGCTTGGCGGAAAGTACCCTAGAAGGTTTTTTGAGCCAAACTCATTAAGGGGCATTCCATAAATGACGTCACGCGATTCTGGACGATTTTGGCCCCCCGCCCTCCCCCTCCCCCCCCTCTTCGTCACACGGCGTCACAAAAAGTCAGACCCCCCCCCCTCAAATATGACGTCACAAAGCTCTTCTCTCCCCCCCCCCCCCAAAAAAAAAATACATGCTTTAAACTATTGTCATCGTAGCGCGTATTTAATGTGGCCGCTGCACTCTGATGTTGTGGTAGAAAACATTGATTTAAACAAAGTCTATTTAATTAAGCAGAACGTGTTGTCTGTATTTATTTATTCATAAAGTTGCGCAATTTTGATGTGACGTCACATTTCTCAAACCCCTCCCCCACCCCCCATCGTCACAAATGTCTGACGCCCCTCCCCCAGGTGCGTGACGTCATTTGTGGACGGCCCCTCAGTGGTGGGGGGGCCTGGTAACAACAACAACAAAAATGTTCCGCTATAAGTCACTGGTGTTGGCCGTGTTCGTAGTAGCGCAGTGTCGCTCCAACCACTGTGCTACCGCTACCCCCCCCCCCACCCGCCCCCCCCGCAACCTTGCTTTATTATTATTATTGGTACCTATGGAGCGAACCTCTTCGCCATAGCAAAAATGTTGATAGTTTCAGAGTTGATCTACGTCAACCTTACGAAAGAAGAAGATGAAGAAGGGAGATCAGGGAAAAGGAGGAGGAGGAAAAAGGAAGACGAAGAAGAAGAAGACAATTAAGAAGACAAAGAAGAAGACAATTAAGAAGACAAAGAAGAATAAGAAGAAGAGGACAAAGAAGAAGAAGACAAAGAAGAAGAAGACAATGAAGAAGACAAAGAAGACAATGAAGAAGACAAAGAAGACAATGAAGAAGAAGACAATGAAGACGAAGACAAAGAAGAAGACAATGAAGAAGACAATGAAGAAGACAATGAAGAAGACAATGAAGAAGAAGACAATGAAGAAGACAATTAAGAAGAAGACAATGAAGAAGAAGACAATGAAGAAGACAATGAAGAAGAAGACAATGAAGAAGAAGACAATGAAGAAGACAATGAAGAAGACAATGAAGAAGACAATGAAGAAGAAGACAATGAAGAAGAAGACAATGAAGAAGACAAAGAAGAAGACAAAGAAGACGAAGAAGAAGACGATAAAGAAGAAGACAATGAAGAAGACAAAGAAGAAGACGAAGAAGACGATGGATGAGACCGAATAAGATGGCTATGGAAGAAGAAGATGAAGACAAAGACGAAGAAGATGAAGACAAAGAAGAAGACGATGAAGAAGACAATGAAGAAGAAGACAATGAAGAAGACAATGAAGAAGACAATGAAGAAGACAATGAAGAAGAAGACAATGAAGAAGAAGACAATGAAGAAGACAAAGAAGAAGACAAAGAAGACGAAGAAGAAGACGATAAAGAAGAAGACAATGAAGAAGACAAAGAAGAAGACGAAGAAGACGATGGATGAGACCGAATAAGATGGCTATGGAAGAAGAAGATGAAGACAAAGACGAAGAAGATGAAGACAAAGAAGAAGACGATGAAGAAGAAGAAGAAGGAGACAAAGAAGAATAAGAAGACAAAGACGAAGAAGACGATGGATTAGACAGAATAAGACGAATATGGAAGAAGAAGAAGACAAAGAAGAAGACGATGAAGAAGGCAAAGAAGAAGAATAAGAAGAAGACGAAGAAGAAGACGAAGAAGAAGACGAAGACCGAGAAGGAATCCCTCCCCGTCCCGGCCCACCCTGAAGGAGTAGACCACCGCCGGGATGCCGAGCGGCCAGAAGAGGCAGAGGAGGGTGACGAGCGACCAGCTGAGGTAGTCGTGGGGTCCCTGCCGACGCTGCCCAAACCCGGGCCCGTTCTCCAGCACTATCACGTGCTGGGCCCGGTAGGCCTCGCCAGGCCCGATGTCCGTCACGTAGCCCGGAGCGGCGCCGCAGTGCTCGCCCTGTGGGTACGGGTAGCCGAAGGGGGGCGTCGGCTGCCGGGCCTGGTACGCGGGCGGCGGTTGCCGGGCCTGGTAGGTCGGCGGCGGCGGCGGCGGCTGATCCGGTTGGTAGGCGGGCGGTGGCTGAGCTGGGTATTGGGCGTGCCCCGGCTCGCACGGCTCGCACAGCACGCTGTAGGGAGGCGGGAAATGGGGGAGGTCTTCCGGCTTGAACTTCCCGTCCATCGCGCAGAGGGGCCCTGCGGCACGAGGACAAAATCGGGAGCAGGGCCGGAATGTTTAATTTCGACTGCGGGAGGAGGAGGAGGAGGATGAGGAGGAGGATGATGAGGAGGAGGGGGAGATACGATGAGCTATGAAGCTCTTTGTTCCCACAGATGTCCGGTATATATAAGGCGGGCCCCGTCAGCGTCATTATCGAACCCACGAGCCTCCTGTACACCAGGCGAGGTAGTCAACATCTCCTAGCCACCGTGATGATGATGAGAGAGAGAGAGACACACCGCAAACTCCAAATATACACCAGGCGTCAGGGTCGGGGTGGGGTGGGGTGGGCCTGAAGCCCCCAGACCGTTGATTACGGACTTCAAAATATGAACCCGCGAAAGCGCCGCGCGTGATGCGTCCACCTACGCGCGTGTGCGCGTGTGTGTATGTCTGTGTGTGTGTACGTGTGTGTTTATGTGTGTGTGTGTATGTGTGTGTGTGTATGTGTGTGTATGTCTGTGTGTGTGTACGTGTGTGTGTGTATGTGTGTGTGTGTGTATGTGTGTGTGTGTATGTGTGTGTATGTCTGTGTGTGTGTACGTGTGTGTTTATGTGTGTGTATGTGTGTATGTGTGTGTATGTCTGTGTGTGTGTACGTGTGTGTGTGTGTATGTGTGTGTGTATGTGTGTGTGTATGTGTGTGTGTATGTGTGTGTATATGTGTGTATGCGTGTGTGCGCGTGTGTGCGTGTGTGTGGGGAGCGGTAGTGTAGCGGTTAGCGCTACGCTGCGCTATGAAGCCGGCGACCCGGGTTCGATTCCCGCTCACGGCCAACACCAGTGACGATTATCTGAACCGGTCCCGGGCCTCCCCTAGGTCGACTCGGCCTCAAATGAGTATCTAGTGCGGTGTGTAGTAAACATCGTCACTCTGGAGACAAAGGCGGCCGGGCGTGGTGCTGGCCACCCACCCCCTCGTGTACCGTTCCGGCCTTCATAGGTGCTGCTCGCTAACAGCACTTGCCCCTACAGTTTGTTAAGGCTACACGGGGGGATCTTTGACTTTTATCTTTGTGTGTGTGTGTGTGCGTACGACGAATTTCTGACGCAGCGTTTGGTTTGCGCGGGCACAAACCTCGCCGATTTGGCCGTGCCGGGCGGCGGCGGCTGGCGGCTTTGACGACGCTACATCGACATGAAGTCGATCTAACCCCCAACAACAACAACAACCACCACCACCACCACTATTGTGGACTACAACGACTGCTGCCACGCGTTGACCTTGCACGGCAAATTCGCTCGGAGGATTGGCGAGCTACCCATGACCACGTTAGAGGGGTGTCTAGGGGGTAGGGGAGGGGGGGTAGGGGAGGGGGGTAGGGGGTCACGTTAGAGGGGTGTCTAGGGGGTAGGGGAGGGGGGGGTAGGGGAGGGGGGTAGGGGGTCACGGTAGAGGGGTGTCTAGGGGGTAGGGGAGGGGGGGGAGGGGGGTAGGGGAGGGGGGTAGGGGAGGGGGGTAGGGGGTCACGGTAGAGGGGTGTCTAGGGGGTAGGGGAGGGGGGTAGGGGAGGGGGGTAGGGGGTCACGGTAGAGGGGTGTCTAGGGGGTAGGGGAGGGGGGGGAGGGGGGTAGGGGAGGGGGGTAGGGGAGGGGGGTAGGGGGTCACGGTAGAGGGGTGTCTAGGGGGTAGGGGAGGGGGGTAGGGGAGGGGGGTAGGGGGTCACGGTAGAGGGGTGTCTAGGGGGTAGGGGAGGGGGGTAGGGGAGGGGGGTAGGGGGTCACGGTAGAGGGGTGTCTAGGGGGTAGGGGAGGGGGGGGTAGGGGAGGGGGGGAGGGGGGTAGGGGAGGGGGGGAGGGGAGGGGGGAGGGGGGTAGGGGAGGGGGGTAGGGGAGGGGGGGAGGGGGGTAGGGGAGAGGGGTAGGGGAGGGGGTCACGGTAGAGGGGTGTCTAGGGGGTAGGGGAGGGGGGTAGGGGAGGGGGGTAGGGGAGGGGGGTAGGGGAGGGGAGGGGAGGGGGGTAGGGGAGGGGGATCGAGGGAGGGGGTCACTTTCAGCGGAGTGGAACACCCAACACGTGACGGTGTCTCGTGCAGGAGACGAACCATCGTCATGAGGACCGCACTTTCACATCATCCTCTAGACTCTAGACTATAGAGTCTAGACTCTAGAGTCTAGACTCTATAGTCTAGAGTCTAGACTCTAGAGTCTAGACTATAGAGTCTAGACTCTAGAGTCTAGACTCTAGAGTCTAGACTCTAGAGTCTAGACTCTAGAGTCTAGACTCTATAGTCTAGAGTCTAGACTCTATAGTCTAGACTCTAGAGTCTAGACTCTATAGTCTAGACTCTATAGTCTAGACTATAGAGTCTAGACTCTAGACTATCAGGGGTCACCAAACTTTTTTCACAGACGGGCCGGATAACTGATAGAATGACGATCGCGGGCCGCATAAACATTCTGTTCAATACTTGGGGGCGGGAAAGATGCGTGTTTGTGTGTGTTGCCATGGAAACCAAGGTAACGTGTTGCCATGACGTTGCCATGGAAACCATGCCATGGAAACCATGGTAACGTCAGAGCGTAGGCGGAGCTACCACGAGCCGGGGAAGTACTTGGGATAGCGCGAAATAAGCAAACATTAGAATAAACAAAAAAATCTAGATACAATAATTTTACAATTTAAAATAGTAAATTAAGGCACATAGCAGTGAGGAGGCATCCGCACGCGTGAAAATCTCCTCGTATTCTAAACATAATATTTAAATTTAAATTGCATCACAACGCCTCGTGTTCCATACGTTTTATCAACCAAATTTAAGTACCGTCGGCGGGCCTGATGGACTGACGATCCGGCCCGCGGGCCGTAGTTTGGTGACCCCTGCTCTAGATTGACAAACTCGTTTATGTGGAACTGGTTTGTATTGTTGTTTATTATCTCCCCGCCCCCCCCCACCACCACCACCACCACCCCATATCTGATAAGCGCGGTTGGCTACATACGGTGCGAAATAATTTTCAACGCTACGCTTTACACCAGGCTATGGGACCGTCCATAAATGACGTCACGCGATTTTGGGACGATTTTTGACCCCTCCCCCCCCCCCCCCTCCCCCCCTTCGTCACACGGCGTCACAAAAAGTCAGACCCCCCCCCTCAAATATGACGTCACAAAGCTCTGCCCCACCCTCAAATATGACGTCACGAAGCTCTGCCCCCTCCCCCCCCCAAAAAAAATATTAAACATGCTTCAAATCGCTTTAAACTATTGTTGTCATTGTAGGAGTTGCGTATTTAATGTGGCGCTGCACTCTGATGTTGTAGGAAGAAAACATTTATTAAGACGTCTATTTAATTAAGTAGAACGTGTAGTGTCTATATTTATTTATAAAGTTGCGCAAATTTTGATGTGACGTCACATTTCTCAAACACCCCCCCCCCCCCAACAGGTGCGTGACGTCATTTATGGACGGCCCCTATACACTATACCACTAAACTAAATCGCAAACGAATTTCTTAAGAACTGCTTGCTACTGTGGTTGTGTTTAGTTTGTGCCCGCCCTCCCCCCCGCATCTCCGATTAGCGCGGTTGGCTACGTACATTGCGAAATAAGTTCAACACACACACGCACTACGCTTTACACTACACAGTGCACCACTATACTAAAGTGAAAACGTTTTTCTTTAGAACCGCTTGCTAGATGTGTTTAAGCTTGTCCTTCACTGCCCCCAACCCCCCAGAACCGCATGTCCGATAAGCTATGATCGGTGTGAAACAAGTAAGTCCAACACACGTACAGGCACACACAAACACAAAGATCCTCCGTGTAGCCTGTAACAGACTGTAGGGGCAAGTGCTTTTAGCGAGCGCCTATGAAGGCCGGAACGGCACGCGAGGGGGTGGGGTGGCCAACACCAGGCCCCGGCCGCCTTTGTCTCCCCGGTGGCGATGTTTACTACACACCGCACCAGGTAACTCATTTGAGGCCGAGTCTACCTAGGGGAGGCCCAGGACCGGTTCAGATAATCGTCACTGGCGGTGTTGTCCGTGAGCGGGAATCGAACCCGGGTACGGGGTTTGTCGCGCAGCGTAGCGATAACCACTACACTACCGCTCCCCACACACACACACACACTTGTACACACGCGCATGCACACACATACACACACCTGTACACGCACACACGTACACGCACACCCTTGTACACACGTACACACACACACACCTGTACACACGTACACGCATGTACACACATACGCAGCCTTACCTGCCGGAGAAGCTCACCGATGGGACCTTGCCCAGATCTTTCAAGGATATGTGAGCTCCTCACACAATCCAGTCTGGTTAAACCCAGGATGGATCGTAGGCAGGCCAGCCTAAATGTTTCTAACCGGCGAAGATGTTCCATTAGGGGGGTCCACGTATCGCAAGCGTAGAGAAGGGAGGGAATGACCGTGTCCGAGAAGACCTGAAGCTTAGTGCGGAGCGACAGACCAGGTAGCTTCCACACAGCGTTACGCAACCGATGAAAAGATATTGCCGCTCGACTGATTCGGAGTGAGACCTCTGCTGTTAAACTGGAGCCGGTCATAAGCACACTGCCCAGGTATGGCAAACTCTCCACTCTCTCCACAACTGCCCCATCACCGATTGGGAGTTGTGGGGGTGGAGTGTCCGATGGTACAAAATACCCAGGCAGGTGCTTAGTTATTGGTGGGGCTGATGGTAAGGCCCCATCTCTTAGTGGCACGCTCCAGTCTCAGCAGCAGCGTTTCCAACTCCTCCTCTGAATGAGCAGCTATTACCAAATCATCGGCATACATAACGTGGTTGAGCAATAGGAAGCCATCCCTTGACCGCACCCGGGCATCAATCAGCCTCCCATTATATCTGTACCATATGGAGATTCCCCCGGTACAGCTATTGAAGGCTTCACGAACTACGTGGTCAAAATAGATGTTAAATAATGTGGGAGCCAGAGGACATCCCTGTCGCACCCCAAGGTGTACAGGAAACGGCTCTGACTCCCGGCCATGTAGTTTTGCTCGGGCCGGCTCACCATCGTGAAGGTCCTTAATGATCGTGAGCAGAGGGTCAGGGACTCCAAAAGCATGAAGAACAACCCAGAGCCCAGGCCTACTGATGGGATCATAGGCCTTGACCAGGTCAATAAAGCAGAGATGTAAGTCACCTGCACACACACCTGCACACACACACACACACGCGTCCTCGTCGTCCACGTGGTGGTCGCACGGCTCACTGCCTACCATGTGGACATTTTAGCCGTGAGACTTATCTTGCGCATTCCAGGTGCATGCAGTGTTGAATGTATGGGCAGTGTTGAGTCTATGGGCAGTGTGGAGTCTATGGGCAGCGTTGAGTCTATGGGCAGCGTTGAGTCTATGGGCAGCGTTGAGTCTATGGGCAGCGTTGAGTCTATGAGCAGCGTTGAGTCTACGGGCAGCGTTGAGTCTACGGGCAGCGTTGAATCTATGGGCAGTGTTTAGTCTATAGGCAGTGTTGAGTCTCTGGGCAGTGTTTAGTCTATTGGCAGTGTTGAGTCTACGGGCAGTGCTGAGTCTATGGGCAGTGTTGATTCTATTAGCAGTGTTGAGTCTCTGGGCAGTGTTTAGTCTATTGGCAGTGTTGAGTTTCTGGGCAGTGTTGAGTCTATGGTGCAGTGTTGAGTCTATAGTGCAGTGTTGAGTCTATAGTGCAGTGTTGAGTCTATGGTGCAGTGTTGAATCTATGGTGCAGTGTTGAGTCTATGGTGCAGTGTAGAGTCTATGATGCAGTGTTGAATCTAAGGTGCAGTGTTTAGTCTATTGGCAGTGTTGAGTCTATGGTGAAGTGTTGAGTCTATGGGCAGTGTTGAGTCTATGGTGCAGTGTTGAGTCTATAGTGCAGTGTTGAGTCTATGGGCAGTGTTGAGTCTATGGTGCAGTGTTGAGTCTATGGGCAGTGTTGAGTCTATGGTGCAGTGTTGAGTCTATGGGCAGTGTTGAGTCTATGGGCAGTGTTGTGTCTACGGGCAGTGTTGAGTCTACGGGCAGCGTTGAGTCTATGGGCAGTGTTGAGTCTATGGGCAGTGTTGAGTCTACGGGCAGTGTTGAGTCTATGGGCAGTGCTGAGTCTATGGTGCAGTGTTGATTCTATTAGCAGTGTTGAGTCTATGGGCAGTGTTGAGTCAATGGGCAGTGTCGAGTCAATTGAACTTCGTTCGCTAATCGGTGGTACGGAGGAAGGACAACACACCAAACAGAAAAAGCAGTTCTACGGAAATTAGTTTCATCCGCCTGGCGCTCCGCTCGCTGCGGTGAGCGTCGTTCCTCTGCCCTCCGCTGCTACTGGAAGTTCGACTGCCTGCAACTGCCCGGCAGCAGCAGCATCAGCGTCCTTCACGAGCTTCCCCCACAGAGGCCGCCGATCTTGACACCGCTGGTATCGGTCACCTTCAAGTCCACTCTGCTCTACATCCTCCTGTACCGCATCAATCACCAATCTCTTCTCGAATCTGTGCCGCGCCCGTTTAGCCCCCCTCCCCCCACCACCACCCTTCTATCCGGCCAAGCAGAAGCAGCTTGGGCATGCAGTGGCTGGCACATTCGCAAATCACGCTCGTATTGACGTGGTCTTCTAACCGGTTCTGGATTCGAACCGGTTATTGATCCACTGCTAACGGACTCACGTTACACAGTGACTAACATAGCCCATAGATTAACATTGCCCATAGATTAACATTGCCCATAGACTCACGTTACACAGTGACTATCAAAGCCCATGGATTAACATTGCCCATAGACTCACGTTAGACAGTGACTAACATAGCCCATGGATTAACATTGCCCATAGACTCACGTTACACAGTGATTATCAAAGCCCATGGATTAACATTGCCCATAGACTCACGTTAGACAGTGACTATCATAGCCCATGGATTAACATTGCCCATAGACTCACGTTACACAGTGACTACCATAACCCATAGATGAACATTGCCCATAGACTCACGGTACACAGTGACTAACATAGCCCATGGATTAACATTGCCCATAGACTCACGTTAAACAGTGACTAACATAGCCCATGGATTAACATTGCCCATAGACTCACGTTACACAGTGACTATCAAATCCCATGGATTAACATTGCCCATAGACTCACATTACACAGTGACTACCATAGCCCATAGATTAACATTGCCCATAGACTCACGTTACACAGTGATTATCATAGCCCATAGATTAACATTGCCCATAGACTCACGTTACACAGTGACTACCATAGCCCATGGATTAACATTGCCCATAGACTCACGTTACAAAGTGACTACCATAGCCCATAGATTAAGATTGGCCATAGACTCACGTTAGACAGTGACTAACATAGCCCATGGATTATCATTGCCCATAGACTCACGTTACACAGTGACTAACATAGCCCATAGATTAACATTTCCCATAGACTCACGTTACACAGTGACTAACATAGCCCATGGATTAACATTGCCCATAGACTCACGTTACACAGTGACTAACATAGCCCATGGATTAACATTGCCCATAGACTCACGTTAAACAGTGACTAACATAGCCCATGGATTAACATTGCCCATAGACTCACGTTACACAGTGACTAACATAGCCCATAGATATACATTGCCCATAGACTCACGTCACCCAGTGACTCTCATAGCCCATAGAATAGCATTGCCCATAGACTCACATTACACAGTGATTATCAAAGCCCATGGATTAACATTGCCCATAGACTCACGTTACATAGTGACTAACATAGCCCATAGATTAACATTTCCCATAGACTCACGTTACACAGTGACTAACATAGCCCATAGATATACATTGCCCATAGACTCACGTCACCCAGTGACTCTCATAGCCCATAGAATAGCATTGCCCATAGACTCACATTACACAGTGATTATCAAAGCCCATGGATTAACATTGCCCATAGACTCACGTTACATAGTGACTATCATAGCCCATGGATTAACATTGCCCATAGACTCACGTTACATAGTGACTAACATAGCCCATGGATTAACATTGCCCATAGACTCACGTTACACAGTGACTAACATAGCCCATGGATTAACATTGTCCATAGACTCACGTTACACAGTGACTATCATAGCCCATGGATTAACATTGCCCATAGACTCACGTTACATAGTGACTAACATAGCCCATGGATTAACATTGCCCATAGACTCACGTTACACGGTGACTACCATAGCCCATGGATTAACATTGCCCATAGACTCACGTTACAAAGTGACTACCATAGCCCATGGATTAACATTGCCCATAGACTCACGTTACAAAGTGACTACCATAGCCCATGGATTAACATTGCCTACAGACTACACTATACTATGTATTTTATTTCTAAAAGTAAAATCAGGTAAAACCCTACTGACATGCTGTGTAGCTCTCTTTCAGAAGCAACCCCTGGGCCATCACAAATGATGGCTCACCCACGTGGGGCTCATCACCATCATCACCATCACGTGGGGAGTAACAGCAGAAGCCAAACGCTCTGAACGAGTGGTGATGTCGATGCTAAACGTGGAGGGGACACATCGCGGATGACCCGGAGAAAAATCCACGCGAGCACGGACAGAGAGAGAGAGGCAGACTCTAAATACGCAGCAGGCGTGGGGGTCGGGATTGAACCCACGACCTCCTGTAGACCGGGCGAGGTTGTTAACTTCTCACCACTGTGATTATGATCAGAGAGCGACGCGCAAACTCTAAATATGCAGCAGCAGCAGGCGTCATGGTCGAAATCGAACCCACGACCTCCTGTGGGCCAGGCGAGGTAGTTAACATCTCACCACTGTGATTATAATCAGAGAGAGACACGCAGACTCCAAATACACAACAGGCGTCAGGGTCGGGATCGAACCCACGAGCCTCCTGCATACCAGGCGTGGAACTTAACATTTGGCCACAGCCGAACATTGCCGGCAGACTTTAGCAAGTGATAGTATCACGAAACAGAGCTAAGGATACGCGGCATGCTCGACCGCTGTGAGACAGGACACGAGACGGACGCGTGGCCAGAGAGACACAGAGACAGAGAGAGACAGAGAGGGAGACAGAGAGACAGAGAGACACAGAGAGGCAGAGAGAGACAGAGAGACAGACAGAGAGACAGAGACACATAGAGGGAGACAGAGAAAGAGAGACACACCGAGAGACAGAGAGAGACATACACAGAGAGAGGCAGAGAGAGAGTCAGAGAGACACAGAGAGAGGCAGAGAGAAAGGCAGAGACAGAGAGAGACAGAGAGAGACATACACAGAGAGAGGCAGAGAGAGAGAGACAGAGAGACACAGAGAGAGGCAGAGAGAAAGGCAGAGACAGAGAGACACAGAGAGAGACAGAGAGAGACATACACACAGAGAGGCAGAGAGAGAGAGACAGAGAGACACAGAGAGAGGCAGAGAGAGAGACAGAGAGACACAGAGAGAGGCAGAGAGAAAGGCAGAGAAAGAGAGACACACCGAGAGAGAGCCACAGAGAGACAGACAGAGAAAGAGAGACACAGAGGGAAAGGTCACACAGAGCGTGGGGAGTGAGAAGAGCGTGGGTTAAGACTAAGCATCTCCACCGAGCTGCACTCACCCTACCTTTACGAAGCGTAGGAACCAGCGGCAGGAAGTCCTCTGTTTTGGAGGGGGCCCTCGCTTCGTCCCGTATATATAGACACACACATACACACACACACCTACACTAACACATCTGGAGTACGACACGGGCAGGAATCTCACTGGGTCACATTTATCGCTTGGGCGGCTTCTGCAGGCGACGAGTCACGTGTGAGATGTGAGGCGCGCAAGGGGGCGGGACTTGTTGCAGGTGTGACGCGGTGGTCACATGATGACTACCTCGCCTTGTACGCAGGAGGTCCGTGGGTGCTATCCCGACCCCGACGACGCCTGCTGGATATTTGGAGTCTGCGTCTCATCATCATCATCACGGTGGCTCGGAGATGTTAACTACCTCGCCTGGTATACAGGAGGTCGTGGGTTCGATCCCGACCCTGACGACGCCTGCTGTTGTATATTTGGAGTCTGCGTGTCTCTCTCTCTCTCTGTGGTGTTTCCACCCCAACCCCCTCCACTTTAACATTCAACATCGCCACGCCTTTTGAGGATTTGCCTGCGGCTGTAGATTCCCCACGCGAGAATGACGACTGCGAGACACCACTTAGCCGAGCAGCCATCGTCAGTGACAGCCAGAGCTCGCTTCTGACACAGAGAGAGAGAGAGCGAGAGAGGGGGCTCCGGAGCCATTCAGGGTGGAGTGGGAGGCCTTAACCGGGTGAAATAAAGAATCTATCAATATACAAAATAAAGAATCTATCAATATAAAATTAAATAATCTATCAATATAAAAATAAAGAATCTATCAATATAAAAAAGAAAGAATATATCAATAGAAAAATAAATAATCTATCAATTTAAAAAATAAAGAATCTATCAATATAAAAAATAAATAATCTATCAATATAAAAAAATAAAGAATCTATGAATATACAAAATAAATAGTCTATCAATATAAAAAAGAAAGAATTTATCAATAGAAAAAAATAAAGAATCTATCAATATCAAAATGAAGAATCTATCAATATAAAAATAAAGAATCTATCAATATAAAAAATAAAGAATCTATCAATATAAAAAATAAAGAATCTATCAATATAAAAAACAAAGAATCTATCAATATAATAATAAAGAATCTATCAATATAAAAACAAAGAATCTATCAATATAAAAATAAAGAATCTATCAATATAAAAAATAAAGAATCTATCAATATAAAATAAAGAATCTATCAATATAAAATAAAGAATCTATCAATATAAAAAATAAAGAATCTATCAATATAAAAAAATAAAGAATCTATCAATATAAAAATAAAGAATCTATCAATATAAAAAATAAAGAATCTATCAATATAAAAAATAAATAATCTATCAATATAAAACACAAAGAATCTATCAATATAATAAAGAATATATCAATATAAAAAATAAAGAATCTATCAATATAAAACAAAGAATCTATCAATATAAAACAAAGAATCTATCAATATAAAAAATAAAGAATCTATCAATATAAAAAATAAAGAATCTATCAATATAAAAAATAAAGAATCTATCAATATAATAAATAAAGAATCTATCAATAAAAAAATAAAGAATCTATCAATATAAAAAAAAATAAAGACCCTTCTTGATCTGCACGTCTCAAACACCGTCCAGGGTACTTGCCGACAAGGTATAAAGTTGACGTGTGGTTACCCAGGTAGATTTTATGACACATACAACAGGGAGCGATGCATCTATCTTCGATCTGTCTATAAAAACTATAGAGCTTAAGGACCGTCCATAAATGACGTCACGCACCTGGGGGGTGGGGGGGGGGTTCAGACATTTGTGACGATGTGTGACGAGGGAGGGGGGGGGAGGTGAGAAATGTGACGTCAGATCAAAATGCGCAACTTTCTAAATAAATATAAACAACACGTTCTACTTAATTAAATAGACTAATCAATGTTGTCTCCTGCAACATCAAAATGCAGCGCCACATTAAATATGCACTGCAGTGACAATAGTTTAAAGCGATTTGAAGCATTTTTTTTTGGGGGGGGGGGGGGGGGCAGAGCTTTGTGACGTCATATTTAAGGGGGGGGGGGTCTGACTTTTTGTGACGCCGTGTGACGAAAGGGGGGGTAGGTCAAAAATCGTCCAGAATCGCGTGACGTCATTTATGGACTGCCCCTTAATTAGTTTGGCTCAAAAAACCTTCTAGGGTACTTTCCACCAAGGTTAGAGAGATGACATTTGGTACAGAAGTAGATTTTATGACTCCAACAACAGGGACAGATACATCGATCTTCGATCTATCTGTATAAATAAAGGCCTTAATCTGTGCGTCGCAAATACCGTCTAGGGTACTTGCTGATAAGGTAGAAAGCTGACGTGTGGTTACCCAGGTAGATTTTAGGACACAAACATCAGGAAGAGAGAGTCACGCAGGTAAGCAAATAAACAGAATAAAACAAAAATTGAAAACAACAAAATCATTTTTTATTTGATTTTTTTTTACCTACGTCACTTTACCGAAAGAACCAAAGAGTATGGATCCTTGCAGTCACACAAGCATTTTGACTGCTTGTGTTGTGGTTATTGCAAACATGATGCCTTGAATAAAGGTGTCAGTTTTTGTGCCAGTTAAAAGGGTGAAACCTATTACTATATCTTGTTACTGGCAAAGGAGGTCTCATAATGTAAATGCTCACCCTGAGCCCTCAATACTCTGACGGTGCGCTGTTTTTGAGTTGTACGCCTTTTGGCGTCTTCTGGTCCAACACCAGTGGAGACTAGGCTCTAAGAAAAGCCGTCTCGGGTGTGGACCAATCAAATTCAAGGACAGTGCATATTATTATCAGAGTTGTCTCTTTTGTTTGCATTTTGACTGCATGTGTTGTGGTTATTGCAAACATGATGCCTTGTGTAAAGGTGTCAGTTTTTGTGCCAGTTAAAAGGGTGAAACCTATTACTATATCTTGTTACTGGCAAAGGAGGTCTCATAATGTAAATTCTCACCCCGAGCCCTCAATACTCTGATAGTGCTCTGTTTTTGAGTTGTACGCCTTTTGGCGTCTTCTGGTCCAACACCAGTGGAGACTAGGCTCTAAGAAAAGCCGTCTCGGGTGTGGACCAATCAAATTCAAGGACAGTGCATATTATTATTATCAGAGTTGTCTCTTTTTGTTTGCATTTTGACTGCTTGTGTTGTGGTTATTGCAAACATGATGCCTTGTGTAAAGGTGTCAGTTTTTGTACCAGTTAAAAGGGTAAAACCTATTACTATAAGTTATATTTGTCAGAAACCCCACGTGAAGTCTGAGGAAAGTGTCAATCATTTATGGTTGTGCGGCATTCGTCATATTTGTAGACAGTTGTAGCTTTCATTTATTGCATATTCGTATAGTACATTGTATAGCTGCACTTGCTTATGATGAATAGCATTATTAGTGTTGCTTTAATGAAAGTGCAAGCAGTTTTATTAGTTAGCTTTCATTCACAGCGACTGTCATCATGAGCAAGAGGAAAGGTGGCAGATTTTATTTTTCTGATTCCATGGCTACGGCCTTGGATCTGATAATATTCGCGGTGAACATGCGAACGAACATGGCTCTGATAATATATGCGTCGTGGTCGATTTGACGCGGACAACTTTCTTGTTTTCTTCGACACCACTTTTATTACAACTCTTCACATTACGTCTGTGACTCCGTCATTCCGCTTAGCCGTAGCTCGCTCGCTCGCCGCCAATCTCGCTCACTCCGCTTCCTCCCCTAACCCGCACTGTCCCTCTGCGTCATCCCTGTCTCTCTTCGTCTCTGTCTCACGCTGTATCTCTGTCTCTTTCCCGCTGTCTCTGTCTCTCTCTCTGTCTCTGTCCCACTCCATCTCTGTCTCTGTCTCTGCTTCTCTCTGCTCGTCTCTGCTCTACTGCTAGCCTGTTCTGTCTCCGATGTCTTCGCTCCGGTTCTCCCCGACCTGCTTCATTCCAGTCCCAGCGACAACAACGCCCCTCGTTCTTCCCGTCTCCCGAATATATCCCCCGTTCTCATTACCAACCAATTAATTAGGCCGCGTGCCACCGACGCCCCGCGTCCCCCCCCCCCGCCCCCGCGCGCCTGTTACTTGCCCCCTTCTATTCCCAGACATCGCGGCGCCACTCCGCCCTTGACAACAACCCCAGCCAATCACAGGCGTACATCGCTCTCCAGCTTAATTGGCCCGTCATTACCGCACATGGCCGGCCCAACGTAACCCCACTGTCGGTGACTCGCGCGTCTTTAACGTTCCCCCCCCCCCCTGTATGCACGTGTTAATCCACTACATGTGCATCAGAACACGCGAATTTTGCATGTTCACCACGAGTACCGTGCGTGGTTAATGCAGTTCTTGATTCCTTGCCAAGCTATCATCTCTTTTGGTGGTTTGAACGTCTTAAAACCTACAGTGAGGGACAAAAGTATTTGATCCCCTGCTGATTTTGTACGTTTGCCCACTGACAAAGAAATGATCAGTCTACAATTTTAATGGTAGGTTGATTTGAACAGTGAGAGACAGGATAACAACAACACAATCCAGAAAAACGCATGTCAAAAATGTTATCAATTGATTTGCATTTTAATGAGGGAAATAAGTATTTCCCTCATTATACTCATTCGTTCTTTCGATAAAGTCACGTAGGTAGAAATAATAAAAGATGTTTCTCTCACCTGAAGAAAGTCGCTTGTGTTGCGATCGTGAGCTCGCTTTCTCTCACCTGAAGACGGTCGCCTGTGTTGAGATCGAAACGTCGGGATCTATTATTTTCTCTACCTACGTGATGACTTTACCGAAAGAACCAAAGTGTATGGATTCCTGCAGTCACGAAAGCTTCCAATATTAAAACCTGCTTATTGCCGGAAAGGGTTAAAACTGCTATTCTCATTTTATTTTTCACACAAAGATCTCCCGTGTAGACTCTAACAGACTTTTGGGCGCAAGCGCTCGATAGCAAGTCGCGCCTATACATGGCCGGCACCGCAAAACACCAGGCCCGGCCGCCTTTGTCTCTCCATCGCTTCAGGTAGCCGTGCGAGGCTGAGTCGACCTAGGGGAGGCACAGGGAGCTGTTCGTCACCGGTGGTGTTGGCCGGGAGCGGGAGTCGAACTCGGGTCGCCGATTAGCACGGTTGGCTACGTACGGTGCGAAAGAAGTTCAACATACGTGCTACACTCTGGTACACTACGCCACTATAATACATACTATACTACACTATACACTCGACTATACACACTACAATATACACTACTACACACTGTACACTAATATACGCTACATGCTATACTACACTATAGACTGCACTAT